CGGGAGGAACCGGCTGGCATCATATCGGGTAAGCGGGGCAGAGGAAATGGTAATTCCAGTTCTGGGAGAGCGCATATGGGTGCCCCCTCCACAGGGTGCGTGGGGCACGGTGGGCGATGCTGGTGGCACCAGGGCCCCCGGTCCCAGCACCTGTTATTGTCCGTGTGAGAGGGGCCAGCAGCGTGGAGGGGCACCGATTTGAACATGCCAACTGGAAACGCTGGCAGAGGGCCCCTGTGGTGGGCGATGCTCGGCGTGGTGGCCCGTTGCCGTCCTCTCTGGCACACGTGCGTGCGGGGTTCTCGTGCAGCAAAGAGCTTGGTTTTCTTCGTGGCAGGAACCCCTTTGTGGTTAATGCTGTACTGGGTCGAAGTGGTGAAATGTGCCAGCTCGTTGGAGCTGTTTCTGTTCCTCCTTTTTCCTGTGCTGATGCTGGAAGTGCTCTGTGCTCTGCTTGGGCACCCCAGCCTCTGGCTGGACTTAAACTCCTCTATCCCTCTGTTCCACATGGTCCCCTCTATTAATTTCCACTCTGGCCCAAGGCTGACTTCATACAGGTTTCCTCCCTCTTCTCTCCTGCCAGGTGCTGAGAAGATGGCCTCCCCGGGTGCCCCAGGGACCCGCATGACATCCACAGTCAGCATCAACATTTCCACCCCTTCCTTCTACAACCCACAGAAGAAGTTTGCACCTGTGGTCGCCCCGAAACCCAAGGTGAACCCCTTCAAGGCTGGGGGTGCATCGGAGTCGGCGCTGCCCCCGCCTCCTGGAGCTGGTGCCCAGCGTGCTCAGATAGGGAAGGTGGGGGAGATTCCATCAGCGCCCATGTCCCTGCTGGCAGAAGGTAGGTGAGGGCTGGCATGGCAGACGTGAATACATGTTTCTAAATTCTCAGGGTGAGGTCTGTAGCTGGGCTGAACATGACAGCAGGGGTGTAAGTGACAGATAACTCTTGCTGTAGAGGCTGGCAGGTTCCAGAATGAGATAAAACGATTGTAAAGGGATCTCAAAGTACGTAGTATCTCCATTAGGAAAGGAAGTGGGAAGGCAATCCCGCGTTGCACTGATGCTGGAGGAACACAATGGATTTTTCGTAGTATTCCCTGAGTGCAGGATCGTGTAACTGCAGCCAGTTTCTGGCCAGCATGTCTGAGAGCAAATACGTTGCAGAGAAGTTGACCTTGATGGTGCTGAATCGTGTTGTTCTCCTTGTTGATTCATCTCAAGTCAAGTTGGTTGTCTCTGTAGAGATCCTTCTCATGGACTCTGCAGTTGTCATCTTTGCTGCTGGAGATGGGGAGGAAGAAATAATTGCATGAAAAAATGGTGGAAGCTGTCATGAACAGGAAGTGAGACTTAAGAGTTTGTGTGACTTGTAGAGTTTTATACTTTTTCCTGGTGGTTTGGGTTGGGTGTGTTTTCCTGTGTAGAGTGACATCTTGCTTTAGTGTGGTTTTCTTTCTCTTTTTTTTTTTCTCTCCTTTTTTTTTTCATTTCCTGTGATGGTGTGTGGGGGGGTGGTTTTGTGTTTCATTTTTTGTTGTTTGGTTGGCTTTGCGTCCTCTTAAGAAGCAGAAGATTCCTGGTTGTGTGGTTGGACTTGATCAGCATGGGGCCACCCGAAAGTTCCCTTGGGATCTCTTGCTGATGCTTGATGCTGTGTGGTATCCCAGGACTCTATCAGGGTGCACCCCAGTCGGGACACGCGTGTTCAAATAATGCTAACTGCTGGTTTAAATTTCTTTCTTTTCACTGTCCACCATAGACTGTGCAACACTGAAGGTTTCTAGGTTAGCATGTGAAGTTAGTGGGCAGCTGACTTGATGGTAGGAAGGCTGCCTCTGTGCTCAGAGGAGAAAAATTATTGAGCCCTTTTTTCAATTTCTTAAGTCACAAGGGCCTCAGCATGTTGGTGCTTCCATCTCCTAGAATTATACCAGCTAACTCTTTTTATCTTATGTTGTTGGCTGGAATCTTGTGTCTGTAATCCCAAGTCCCATCTTAGGCTTTATGATTTTCCACTGTAGTTCTGTGGATTAGGGATGTGTCTGTCGGAAGGTCTCATCACACAAATACGTTACCTGAAGTACAAAAGTAGCCAGGTGGATGCTAAAAATTATTTTTCAATATACAGTGCGAGTGGAGGGTTGAGTCTTGTTGGCTCCACTTCTCCCTTCCTTATAAAGCCTGTTATGGAGGAACTAACTTGATGGAAAGATTAGCAAAAGAACCATTTGGCTTAAGCTGCTGCGTCACCATGGGGTGAGGGCTGCCAGCAAGACATCTGAAGTACAGATGAACCACCAAAACTCAAGTTGTGAGAGAAATGCATCTGGGTTGCTCCTTCTCTGCTGCATCTCTTCAGTCTTTCTTTCCCTTTTTCATACACTTCCCAATCAAATAGTAGTAGGACATGAAGCCATAGCAGTTGGTCTCTGTCTTAAATGACAGGATGGCTAAGTTAGTATTGCTGTAGGAATGTTATATTTAGTGATCATTCCACAAATCTGGTATTAATTCCTTTGTGAGGAACTTAAATTTGTATGAATAATTCATAAAACAGGCTCGTAGTGCATCCGAAACAATGTGACAGCAGGCAGGGCCTCGTTTTTGCAATATTCTTTATCGTTTCAGTAAACCAAAGTGTATACAAACTTGATCCCCAAACAAAAAAATAATAATTTTTTTTTTATTTTTTCAATAAATAAATTTCAAAAAAAAGTTTAAAAGAAAAAAATACCAGCCTAGTATTACTTCCCTCTCCAAGCAGAACTGCTGTGGTACAAGAAGGCTTGGAAGAGGTGCTGCATACCAGTGCAGTTTATGCATTCCACTGGCTAATAAGATTTCGGCTTCCTTTTTCTGAAAGGGCAGTAACATCTCCCTTAGGTTACAGCAAGAAGTCCTTATAAAGTCCGTCAACAACAGCTGGGTATAAAGATGAGACAATTCGATTCCGGCTGCCAAACGTTGCACATGGATTAGCAGGAGTGGAAAAAAAAAATGGTCTTTCACCCTGCTGCTGGTTGGGGCTAGCTAGGAGGAGAGGTGGGTGTCCAGGAAAAGGGATGGGGAAGTTACATCTCCTTGTCTTCAGTGTTCTCTGCTGCTTGGGTGATAAGAGGACAACTTCTCCTGCTCGTGGTGGAGGGAAGAGGATTCACGTTTATTTGACCGTGTTGTAGTAGACTGGCAGTTCTGTGTCTTCAGCAAATACAAATAGGTGGAAGCAATGGGTTTTTCTTCTAGGGGACTGAGGCACCTGCTTAAAAGGGTTTTGGGAAATGTCTCATGTCCTAAGCTGTACTGGGTATGGGGACGTTTTAGCCTACAAAAGGAAAGCTGTTTTCATCTCCTGGAAAAACAAAGCAGTTTCAAAGATTCCTCCTATGCATCAGGGGTAGTTGGGGAGGGGGAAAAAAAAAAAAAGCAAGTCAGACCACTGGTTTCTTGTCGTGCTTACTAGCCAGCTGCGAGGTGCCAGCTTATTTTCCTGTGATAATGCAGGCTCTTCAGGGTCCTGGTTGTCCACTGGCACTTCTTCTAGTGCTGTTCTGTACTCAGCAATCTGAGCCAGTTACTGGCAAGAGAAGCACGTGCTAGGGACTGAAGAATGAGAGGAGGAGTGGGAAAGGGTGTGGTAGGACGTTTCCCACTTATACAATAACTATTCCCAGTGACTAATTGCAGTAGATGCTGAAGAAAGTTTATATGATGGCAAATGGCTTTCACCTTTTCCAAAGCTAGCCTCTGGAAAAGCTAGCCCCTCTAGTTGTCCTTGATGGGTGCTGGGGTCACCTGGATGGGATCTACTTGATGTAATACCTTCGAGACCCCTCCTGGGGTTTGCACTGGCTAAGAGTTAAGAAATGATCCAAACTTGCTTTTATGCTCGTTCTTCCCCATAGAGCTGCCGTTGCCACCGCCTCCCCCACCTGGAGAGGAGGCGAGTTTCTCCTCAAACTGTGCTTTTCCTCCACCCCCTCCACCCTTCGAAGAGCCTTTTCCACCAGCCCCAGAAGAAGTTTTTCCTTCTCCTCCTCCTCCTCCTCCTCCTCCACCGATGTTTGATGAAGGGCCACTGAGCAAGGTGCCTGCCCCACAGGTGAGTGAGGTCAAGGGAAGTATAGTTTGTTGTGATGCTCTGTGAGTTGGGACAGCTTCTCGCTACTCTGAGCTCAGCAGCAGGAAGCCCTGAGATCTGGGAAAGCAGAAAATGCCACCACCCCATGGACCAGCGTAGGTTAGGGTCAACTGACTGGGCTACAGCTCCACAGGTGAAGGACCTGGGGTTCCTGGTGGACAGCAAGTTGAATGTGAGCCAGCAACGCACCCCTGTGGCATTAAAGGCCAACCACATGCTGGGTTGCGTTCGTGAGAGTGTGGGCAGCAGGACAAGGAAGGTGATTTTCTCCTCTCTTTGGTGCTAGCGAGGCTGCGTCTTGGAGGGCTGTTTCCAGTTGGGCTCCCCAGTATAATAACCTCAGAGAAATACTGAACTAGCTGCAATCCAGCAAAGGGTTGTAGCGATCACTGGGGGATGGAGCACATGGTGTAAGAGCTGGGTTTGCTCAGCCTGCAGAAGAGGAGGCCAAGGGCAGGGATCTAACTGCAGTCTGCAGTACCTAAAGGAGGACTGGAGAGAAGACAGATCCTCCTTACTGAGGCACAAAAAGAGAACGAGAGACAATGGGCACAGATTGCGGCAAGGGAAGTTCCTGTTGGACAGAAGAAAAACCTGTTCCTCTCCAAGGGTGGCTCAACACTGGCACAGGTGCCCAGAGAGGCTGGGGAATCCGTGTCCTTGGAGATGTTCAGAAATCACCTGGACAAGGCCCTGAGCAACGTGGTCTAGCTTGGGAGTGAGCCCTGCTGTGAGCAGGGTGTTGTACTAGAGACCTCCAGGTGTCTTTTCACACCTAAATCTGTGAGTTTCTTTGGGCTGTGTGTTTTCCCACTGTTTGTAGACCTTGGGTGCTGTGTCCTCTTCATCCTCACCAACTTGCTATCCTCTCGGAGCAAGGAGCAGATCTGTACCACGGTCCAAAGTGTCAAAATCTGCTATTGTTTAGGGGATACACCTGGTTCTCTGGCTGTTCCTGTAACGTGCTCTGCTCCCTCTTTCCTCATGGATGGTGGTGTAGGTACGTGGCAAGATGAGCAGCATTGATCTTGAGATTGACTCACTGTCCGTAATGTTGGATGACATGGAGAAGAACGACCCCTTCAAATCCCGGGTGAGCTCTCCAGAATGTCGCAGTTGGAAGGAGAGATGGCTGGTTTGCTGCACGGTTGTAGTGAGAAGAGGGCTACTGAAGATTAAAATGTCTGGATAAACCGTAGCGCAGAAGTGTACGTGAAGGACTAGGAAGCACAGATCTTGCAACCCGTCAGGACTGCTGAACGTGTAAAAGTGTGGGAGATCTTAGCGTCGTGGTTCTGGGATAGCTGCTGACTTACTGCTATAGAAGGGATATTTTCTCCTCCACTTTGCTGGTGACTGCCTGTGTCTCTCTTGCTTCTCTTTACAGATATCTCCAGGGTCCACAGGTTCTGTAGAGAAACCGTCGGCCCCAAAAGCCCATGCGGAAATACCATCTGCACCCAGAGATACTCCTCATTCCTTTCCTTCCAAGTTCACTCCAAAGCCAAGTGGAAGCTCACCTTTCAAGCCCCCTGGAGTGGATTTGACCCCCACCCCAACCCCATGGGCAGCCCCGCAGCAATGCAAGGAGCCCCTAGCACCCGTCCCTCCACCCACCTCTCTCCCTCCTGCTCAGCCTACCCCTAAATTCACCCCACCCCCTGTTTCTGGCTCTTCTAAGCCTGGATCCAAATCAGGTGCCAATGTTGCCACAGCTCCCTCAAACTCTACAAGATATCCTACCTCCCTCCAGACTCAGTTCACAGCCCCTGCACCTTCAGGTCCCTCCTCTCGGCCAGAGCCTCCCAATTTCACCTATGCCCAGCAGAGGGAAAGACCCCAAGTGCAGGTGAAGCCACGTCCTGCAGAACACCCTGCGGCTGCAAAAGACACGGTAAGGGATCGAGCCACGGGAGCAGCGTCTTTGGACAGGCACAGCATCACTGGGAGTGAAGTTGGAGGATGAGGAGGGAGGGTCTGTCCCAGGCTAGGGCAAGCTACTGCCCATCTGAAAGAGAGATGTAACTAGGGACAGTGGTGGAGAGGGGTAGGGCTTCATGTAAAGGTGGAAAGAAGCAAGCACAGTGGGTGGCAGATTGTTCTCTAGAGGGAGAGACAGAGAGAAGTAAAGGTGTGAGAAGTAGGTTCATTAGGGACAAGGTGGGACGGAGTCTGTCTATGTGTGTCCTTTGGGATTGAATGTTTCCACTTCCTGCAGCATAGACCCACAGGCTCCGGTGCAGATCCACCTAGGGGAAATTCCTGTCTGACCATGAAGGAGGTAGAAGAGCTGGAGATGTTGACCCAGAAACTAATGAAGGATATGGAGCATCCGCCCCCAGCAGAGGCTGCTACTTCTGGTGCGTTCCCTCAGCGGACAGCGGTAGGACTAAGACTGTGGTGGCTTTTCATCTCTCCTAATCCCTTTCTTTTTCCATTGACAGAGCTCTGCGGCTTCTGCCTCACGAACCCAGCCAGCTGTGAGGGCCCTGGACCGCCTCTTCCACGTGGAATGCTTCACCTGCTTCAAATGTGAGAAGCAGCTGCAAGGGCAGCAGTTCTACAACGTGGATGAGAAGCCCTTCTGTGAGGACTGCTATGCTGTGAGTCACTGAGATGAGAGCTGTGGTTGCTCCCTCTTGCTTTCCCATCCTCCTTCCGTCTTGCCTGTCTGTGGTGTAGCCTCCCAGGGTTTGGGGGACTGGATTAATGTGTTGTACTTGTTTCCTTTGGGCTCAGGGGACCTTGGAAAAGTGCAGTGTCTGCAAACAGACCATCACAGACCGGATGCTGAAGGCCACTGGTAACTCATACCATCCCCAGTGCTTCACCTGCGTGATGTGCCATACCCCTCTTGAAGGGACCTCTTTTATTGTGGACCAGGCCAACCAGCCTCACTGCGTGGATGACTACCACAGGTATGGAGGGAGCACGAGCACGTGGGGTCTGGCAGAAGGCAGATTCCCTCACACCTGTGTAATTTCACTGCAGTGTGGGGTTGGGTGGCCCATGGCATCTGTTGGACGCGAAGTTAAAAATGAATCAGCAACGTACCTTGTGGCAATTAAGGTCTTCTCCCACCTAAACGTCTTTGGGATTTATTATTCCTCTGCTGCTGACGCTGTTGGACAGCAGTGAGGAAGTTGCGTTGAACGTCACCGCGGTGGTCATGATCTCCGTGTTTTTGTGTGTTGCAGGAAGTATGCTCCACGCTGCTCCGTCTGTAGTGAGCCTATCATGCCAGAGCCTGGAAAGGATGAGACAGTGCGTGTGGTGGCATTGGAGAAGAATTTCCATATGAAATGTTACAAGTGTGAGGTAAGCCTGGTGGCCCCGCTCCTCCCATCTCTCCCATGCCCATCACCAACTGGGCACCTTTGTTGTCTGCCCTGACCGAACACTGAGGTTGTTTTGAATTAATTTGGAGCGTTTTTGAAGCAGGTTCGGAAAAATATCAGACATTTACGGACCACAGGTCCATGAACAAGGACTGTGCAGGGTTGTAGTCGCTAACATCTCTAATACCACAGCTCTGTGTTCCGGGAGAACGTGCTGGGATCACAGAAGGGTCTTGCTCTTCCCTCAAAGTAGTGTCTCCCATTAGCAGCATCAGAGACAGAGCAGTCGGCTGTGAGCCTGGTGGGGCATTTCTTACACCCTTGAATGCATTTACCCCGCTGTTGGCTGTCATTGAGCTCCCTCCCTCTTTTCCTTCCCTGTTTAGGACTGTGGGAAGCCCTTGTCCATTGAAGCAGACGAGAATGGGTGCTTTCCACTGGATGGGCACGTGCTGTGTATCAAATGTCACACCGTTCGTGCCAAAACGGCGCGCTGAGGAGCTTGGAGTGGGCATGCCCTCAGACCCCTGCACTCAATCCTCTTCCCCTCCCTGCTGTTGTCCTACCCCTCTGCCCGAGGAGGCAGGTTGCCACCAATGGAGACCATGCCAGCGCAGTTCTTTACTCACGTAGGATACACTGCTCCTAGACTTCGCGCCGCACGCCCACCAAGAAGGGGCCTCTTGTCCCGTTGCCACTCCCTGGCCACAGGGTATTCCAACATTACAATCTCTGTTCCCTTAAGACTCTGGAAGAGAAGGACCAGACCTTCACCACCTGGTGGAAGCGGCGAGAACCTGGTGACAGGTCCTGGGAAGGGCTGAGCGTTCTTCTGTTGCACGGAGCCAAGAACGATGATTTGACCTTAGAAGGTGGAAGCCTCTATCTCAGCACCACTTTTGTCTTTGATTTTATTTTTTCTCTCGTGCCACCTCATCATCAGGATGTCTTTCCCTGCCCCCTCCCTCCCTCCTGGGTTAGAGTGTGGAGGCAGAACGTATTGGGAATCTTATCGTTGCTGGAAGCAACTTAACCCACTATGCCTTTTCTCTTTCTAATGGATTTTACTGCCTACCTGTCTTTGTCACTTTTTTTTTTTTTTTCCTAGCCAGATTAAACTGGCACTGTTTGGAATCCTGTTCTGCTCCTGAGTTCGGAAACTTTTTTTTTTTTCTTTTAAAATCTTTTTCCTTCCCCAAAAGGAATCATTTCCCAGTGTGGTTTCTGGACAGCCAGGCTGGGCACCAGAGTAGCAAAGCAGTCCAAAGAATGCATGTTTACAAATAAAGACTGTCATAAGGACGGGCAGCACATGGTGAGGAGTCGTCTGAGCGCATGGATGAGGATTCAGGAGACTGAGGAACGCCTCCCCGTTCCAGTAAGGATTCTTTCACTGCTGTCAGTGAAAGCTGCAGTGTAATTGCAATGTACTGTCTGGCTCTAAGTGTTACTGCACTGAGCCCCCATTTCCTGGACTAGAAGCTCAAACTGAACAAACCTTTTGAATAACTACGCTGTCCAACCACTGTTTGCATTCAATAAAATGTGGGATTTTTTCCATTAACGTGTGTCTGCTGTATCTGTTGAACTGCCCATGAGAATTGCTGTCTTAGGCAGCAGGGAATGCGTAGCTGCTGTGCCACTCAGCCTCCAGAGATGAGAGTCTGAAAATCATAGAATCATAGAAGGGTTTGGGTTGGAAGGGACCTCAAAGATCATCCAGTTCCAACCCCCCTGCCATGGGCAGGGACACCCTCCACTACACCAGGTTGCTCAAAGCCTCATTCATCCTGGCCTTGAACACTTCCAAGGATGGGGCAGCCACAGCTTCTCTGGGCAACCTGTGCCAGTGCCTCACCACCCTCAGAGGGAAGAATTTCTTCCTTAGATCTAATCTAAATCTCCCCTCTTTCAGTTTACAGCCATTGCCCCGTGTCCTGTCACTACATGCCCTTGTCCAAACCCCCTCTCCAGCTTTCCTGTAGCCCCTTTAGGAAGTGGAAGGTCTCCCTGGAGCCTTCTCTTCTCCAGGCTGAACAGCCCCAACTCTCCCAGCCTGTCTCCATAGCAGAGGTGCTCCAGCCCTCGGATCATCTTCATGGCCTCCTCTGGACCCGCTCCAGCAGCTCCATGTCCTTCTTGTGTTGGGGACTCCAGAGCTGAACACAGTATTCCAGGTGGGCCTTTCTCTCTCCACTTCTTGGTCAAACTGTTTAGTTTCCTGCTTTTCTGTGCCTGAAGAGTAGCTTATTTAAAGCAGTGGAAGGGCAGCGTTTCAGTACAGCAAGATTGGTGGCTCATTGATGTGTCAATGGGAGGAGTTACTGGAATCTGCTTGCATCACACTGGAATAAAGTGGTCGATTTGCTTGCTTTGCCTTAACTACTGCTGCTCAGAAAGTGCTTGTGCTTGATGTTTATGGTTTTAAGCATGGTGCTATATTGGTCACTGCAGGTGAAACTCTTCTTTGTGGTGAGCATCAATGCTTCTACACTTCAAAGACATGAAACCTACTCTTGTTCTCTTGCCAGTTTCGGGAAATCTTTACTGACTCCTTGCAAATTGATCCAGTAAATGCTTTGAGGTTTCCTACAGGGTGAGTAAAGAATAAACAAATCGTAGGTTTGCTTTCCTTTTCTTTTCTTGTCTGACTTTTTGCTGGCTTGTAGGCACTGTTCTGAGTGGTTGTTTCTAGATGATGTGATGAAAAGTTCAAACACCAAGGAGCACAGAGGAGAGAAATGATGATGGGGGGAGAGAAGTCCACTAACCCAGCTCCTCCAAGAGGACTGTATCTTGGCATCTGGGTAAGAAACCTGTCCAACAGAGTCAATGGGAAGGGCTCTCTGGATCACCTTGCAGATGAAGGGGAGGTTAGTCCCTCTGAGGGGCATGGGGGGAAGAGCATTTGGGAACTTGTTATGGGATGTGTAAGGGCAGGATCAGAGGCAGGAGAAAGGAGTGATGAGGAAGAGGAAGCAGCATAGGAAAACTGGGAGGAAAGGGGCACAGAAGGGGCTGGCTGCACGTACACAGTGCACTTGTCTGGCCATGCCCTGTGTCATCCGTGCAGTCTGCCCTGTCGTCTTACTAAACTCTGGGGTTGCTTTTTGGTGTGGGTGTTTTCTGGGGTTGCTTTTTGGTGTGGGTGGTTTTTCCCCTGCGTGGAGGGACTCTTCTCAGCACATGGGGAGGTGTAAGTGGCAGTAATGGAGATACCTGAGCACATGCATAGTGTGTGGGTGTGCAAATCCATACGTAATCACCAGCAAAAATCAAGTCAGGACACTAGAGAGATCCATAGGATGTATGTATGTATTTCCTGCTAACAGGTTCATCCTGATGAGCCAGAGAAGGGAATAGGATGGGGCTGTTTGTGCTGTGCTTGCATGGCTGCTGTGTATCCTGCCTCAGGCCAGTGATGTACAGTGTGTGTGCACATATATACATGCACATATTATATACATGGATATTTTGCGTGCGTTGAGTGCCTGGTGGGAATACGTGCTCGGGCTTGCAACTGGCTGCACTTGAGGATGTGGAATGGAGCAGCCTCTTCTCTATTAGGGCAGCTGATTCAGCAGCTCTTTAACAGTTGAAGTTGGAAGGGACCTCCCTGCTCCGAGCAGGGTCAGCCAGAGCAGATTGCTCAGGAATACACATCATCTTTTTTTTTAATACCTCCAAGGATGAGAACTCCACAGCCTCCCTGCATAACCCGTTCCAGTGTTTTAACAGCTCTCACAGTAAGTCTTTTCTTACCTTCAAATGGAATTTACTGTATTTTGGTGTGTTCTCACTGCTGCTTCTCCTTTCACCAGATACCACTGAGGAGGATCTGGCTCCCTTTTCTTCACTCTCTCGCAGCAGGTATTTATACACAATGATAACAGCCACCCAAATCTCAACTCAAGGCTGAACAGTCCTGGCTCCCTCAGCCTCTCCTCATGTCAGGTGCTCTAATCCCCTCAAAATCTGAGTGCTCCAGCATGTCCACATCCTTCTTTGTACTGGGGAGCCCCAAATTGGACCCAACACTCCTGATGTCTGACCAACGCTGAATAGAGGGGAAGAATCCCCTCCCTCCAGCTGCTGGTGATGCATTTGCTCATGCAGCGCGGATACTGCTGGCTTCCTTTGCTGCAGGGGCACATTTCTGGCTCAAGTGCAACTTAACTGTTCACTGTGACCTTCAAGTCCTTTCCTGCACAGCTGCTTTCCAGCCAGTCAGCACCCAGCATGGGGCTGTTCCTCCCCAGCTGCAGGGCTCTGCGTTTCCCTTTGTTCACGAGTCTTCCTCTTCCCATTTCTCCCATCTGTTGAGGTCCCTCTGAATGGCTGCAGAAAGTTGCAGTTCTTTAGATCTCTGCTTGTTAACCCTTTTGTCATTTAAGGTTAAGCAAGACCTTCCCAGCAGCAGGGGTGTTGATTGACAGCCTGAGGAATTTGGAGCATTATACAATTATGGAAACACTGATAGCCATCTACAGCAAGTAAATGATTGCTGAATGGTTAGCACTCACTTTCTTCACCGACCTAGACTTAGCTCAAGCACTGAAAAATAAATCTTGAGGTGACTATTCTTCCCAAGTAGGAAAAAGCCTTTGGAACATCAGTGAGATTTTTTTTTTTTTAATTTTTTTTTTTTCTCCCTGTTCTGCAGTAGAAGAACACATTTCATCAAACTACAGCACCAGCTTCTGATACTGCTCGTGGTTTAGGGGTAAACACAGGAGCTGAAAAAAAGATGGACTCGGCTAATGGATGGATACAGCTGTAACTGGGTTTAGCAAAAAAAGTCAGAAGTGACCAGCTGCATGTGTATCCTTTAATCCTAATGCATTTCCATGTTAAATCTGCAGTTAAATGGAAAAAGCCCATCGGCTGAAACAACTAAACAGGGCTGTAAGGACTCTGCTGAAACTGAGAATGGAAAGTAAAGGTCTGTGCTGGGTTTGTGTGATGGGGGTTTGGTAGCAGGGAGGGGTTACAGGGATTGTCCCTGTAAGGAGCTGCTAGAAGCTTCCCTGTCTCCAAGTCCGACCTGCCCCTGGCCTGGTCAGGCTCCCCTCTGTCAATAAATATATTTAAGATGGGGACAAAGAAACCCACGCCATGTGGGACCTGCCACTGAGAGAGGGGGGAGCGGGGGGCCTGGCCCCTGCTTCCCACGTGGATGTCTGCCTGCACTGGGCCACCACTGGTGCCAGCTGTGCTCTGAAGTGCCCGGCTCCTGGGGTGTCCTGCCAGGACTGCTGCGGTTCATCGTGCCCAGCGTGGCTGCGGCGGGGAGAGGAGTGGGATGTGAGAGAAACAACGATGCAGACACCAAGGTTGGTGAAGATGGAACGGGAGGAGGTGCGCCGGAGTGGAGATTCCCCTGCAGCCCATGGGGATTAACGGTGGAGTGGAGAGCCACCCGTAGCCTGTGGGGAACCCCATGCCGGAGCAGGTGGCTGTGCCCGAACGAGGTCATCTAGGACTGTCTCCCACGGACCCCTTCCC